ACCAATCACAGAAATGCTTCCTGGAATATTAAGTCAGCTGGGTGCCGACAGCTTAACAAGTCTTAGGAAATTAGCTGAACAGTTCCCACGACAAGGTAGGTATTTCAGTTTGTTGGTATATTTTCTTCAGCTCTCCACTTAATTAAAAGAAACCTAATAATTTAAAATGTGTCACATCTTAAACTAAGAGGATTTGCCTTAGTATTATACTTTCCTTTGTATAATGTCACTTGAATGCTTACAAAATTTTGAGCTTGTTCTAATTATTAGTATAGGACATAAAGTATTCAGATGCAGTATTTTTATTATACTGTAGATAAGGTAACCATAAATTCTCGATTTCCAAGATAGTCATAGTCTCACATATGTGTTATTGCTGCTAGTAGTCTCATATTTCCTTTTTTATTGCAAATGTTATTTTTTATTTTATTTTTTTGAGAAGCATCAATGAGACAGTTTCAAAGCTGATTAATAGGGCATTTTCAATAATTAATACATTGCATTGTTATCTTCTTCGTGCTTATCCATAGTACAAGAAGCAGATATGATATCCTGTCGAGCCTCATATTTCCATGTCTAAGCATGCTGCATAGTTACTCTGAACAAAATGGAAATAATTTTTAATATTCATTGTTCTCAGAGAACATGCCTCTGTAAGTTATTTATAATGCATTTTTATTCAAAACCATCTGAACTGCTCCATTTTGCATGTAAATTTTATCTACAGCACAATGAAATCACCAGCTATATTTATTGCATATATAACTTACAGTTTTATTAATTTTAATGTTACTTAAGCAAAAAACTATGATTAGATTTTAGGTTTATAGTTTTTAGTTTTTTTCTAAGCAACTGTGTAAGATTTAGACAGGGAAAAAATAACACTGTAGACATACAAGTGTTCTGCAAAGGTTTTTGCTCTTAATAACTGTAAACTTTTCGTAGTGTTGGACAGCAAAGCACCGAAGCCAGAGGACATGGACGAGGAAGATGATGATGTCCCCGGTCAGTGGCGCCACCTTTGGCCCTGCAATTTGTAGCATACCGTTTGTTTATCTCATTTCACTAACTGAATAGGTGGCTTTTAGGATTTTGTTGATTGTGAGCTCTGAATTTAAATGGACTCAAAGTGAAGTGGATAGGATCTAATGAAAACGAATAAAAGTTTCTTCATTAGAACATAGAATCAAGGGCCAGGGAGAGAGCTCAATAGAATAAGTGACTGGCAAGCACAAGGTCTTGAGTTCAATGCCCACTACTGCAAATAAATAAATAAATGTCCCAGACAGACATGATTAAAAAAAAAAATAGAATCAGAAATTTTCACACAAAGCTCTGCTGCCTACATTTATTATATTGAAATCACTGTGATTATAAATTGACATAGTATATATCATTTCATGGAAATTATAATTTACACCTTAGTGGTTGGCAGATGCCTAAAAAAGAAGTTGAAAATTTCTTTCAGATTATTGTTTTAAACAGATAAATGAATCATAACTAGTGCAGTACCATCAGTTCATGTCTGCGTGCTGTGTATGCTCTCAGGTTAATTCTGGTTGCAATAGTTTTGTCTTAATTGGGATTTGAAGTTTAGTGTTCTATTGACTTTGTTTTCCTTTGTTCATTTTTCTTTTTGGAGACTTACTTGCTTTTTTTTTTTTTTTTTCCAGATCTCGTAGAAAATTTTGATGAAGCATCAAAAAATGAAGCCAACTAAATCTTTTCTGGTTTTTGGAAGCTGGCATGGACTAGATTTAACAAATCAGCTATGTGGTTCCAAAGTTTTACCAATACAGAGAACATCATCTGTTACTAGTTCAGTAATATAATATTTTGTATATTAATAATGCTGTTTGTTCAGCATTTTTCAGTCATTTGATTTTGCATTTTGCACTTCCTACCAGGATCTATTCTTTTGGTCAAAATATGAAGTATTGGTGCAGCTTGAGGGTGAAGGGGTTTTGATTCTTGGGTTTTTTTGTTTTGGGGGGTAATTTGGGTGTATGTATGTATATGTATGCGTGTGGGTGTGTATACACAATGGAGAACAGTTTGGAAAACAGTTCTATTTATCCTCTTCCTTTCCCCAGTAGAAATAAAACAAATCTTTACATTTGCTACTTTTCTTTCCCCAGTAATACACAGAATTAATGATAAATGAGTATCTTTGACTTCAGATCTGAAGATATTTTTACTGTTGGAGGTTTGGTTTTAATCTGTTTGGTTAACTGCCATATTTTTCATACTTTTCTCTGAGTTTACAATGTCTTAAGAGGGCCAGGAATATAGGTTAAGGGCACAGTGCCTGCCTGGCAAGCACAGGGCACAGTTAGATTCCCAGTACAGATAGAAACTGGGCACGGCACACACTTAACATCCTGGCACTTGGGAGGCTGAGGCAGGAGGATCACTGAGTTCAAGACCAGCATGAGTTACATAATGAATCCCCACTAGCTTGAACTGCATAGTGAGATCCTGTCTCTCAAAAAAAAGTGTTTTAAGGAGCTAGGCATGGCGGTATGTGCCTGTAATTCTAGCACTTAGGAATCTAAGGCAGGAGAATTGCTCAGAATTTCAAGGCTGGCCCAGACTGCATAGTGAGGTCAAGGTCAGCTTGCACTACACAGCAAGAGCCTGTCTCAAAAAACCAGTAAAATTTTTAAAAATGTCATAAGATACTTTAGCCATCAGCCTCCTGCTAGAGTAATAGGTCGGCTATCTTTGGTATAGTTACCTTAAATTCACTTACCTGGTCAGACCCAGAAGATTTATTTTACACTATTCCTTTTTTCCCCTCATTTTTCCTTTACAGTGTTGAGGATCAAGACAAAGGCTTCACACGCACTAGGCAAGTACTCTGCCACTGACCTATATCTCCAGCCCCACCATCTTTCCTAAATGCTTTTTTTTCCCTCTCTTTTTGGTCTTTTAAGTGGCCTGGTCAGCTTTTGGTAATACTGTTCCTTATATTTCACCAAGGTTGAGAATGATGTTCTCCATAGAGTTAAATGAGTGCCTAACCTCTCTTTATTATAAAATTTTGTTCCCTTATCTTGCGGAACAATGGTTTATCTTCAACCTTTTATTTCTACTCGCTTTTACAGTTTGATAGATTTTAAGGTAGGGTAGCTAGCATGTGCTTGCTAATAATTTTATGTCAGCCCCACCATGTATTCTAGCTGTTCTCAGTAACAGGTGCAAGAAATGCCTTTTTTAAAAATAAGGTGGAAGGTGGAATGTCCTTTTGATTGAGAAGAAAATAGGCCATAGGCCTATCTCCCAGCACAAATGGGCATTCTCTGAAATAACTGGCCTTAGGGGATTGCTTGAACCACTCATACTCTTGGCCTTGAACCTACCTCTGGGTTGAATTTTATTATGTAGCTGCTCATGAGAACTTTCTGCATGCTTAGAATAATGCTTTGTGGAGAGCACTGGTAAAATGCAGTATTTATTTTTTTTTTTTTATCTCCTTTCAGAGAGCTTGGAGGTAAATTGTATTCACTCAAGTTTCTCTCGTCTGATAAAAGCTTGGACTTTGCATATCTGCCTTTGTTATAGCCAACATTTTAGGATAAGATTTAGAAAATCTGTCACTCCTGGCCAGTCACTGAACTATAGGTAATCTTGCAGCATATCAGTTTTTTTGTTTTGTTTTGTTTCAAGCTAGTTATCTTTATTTGATATCTGAAGTGCAAGACCAACAATTTAGCTGGGTATGGTGGCACATGGCACATGCCTGTATCCCAGCATTTGGGAGGCTGAGGCTGGAGGATCACCAGTGAGTTTGAGGCCAGCTTGGACTCTACATAGTGAGATCCTATTTCAAAACAAAATGAAAAACACTAACAATTTGTTGAGAGATTGTAGATAAGAAAGCAAACCTCTCATGTTTTTTTCATCTAAACACTTCAATTTGTTTTAAAAATCATTTCTCTGTTATGTTTTGTATAATATACGGACTTAACAGTAAAAAGAGGAATACATTTCCTCATATGCTTCTTTTGTTGTCACAGATTTTATAATGTTGTATTTATCCTGTTTCTCATACCCAAGTACTCTAGTGCTCAAATAATGTCTCTGTCATTGTTAGATTGGTAGTTGTACATAGTCTAGAATTCTGTTGCTCTTGAGTAAAGGGCACATTATGAAGCAGAGAGTATTGGGGAACCATTTCAAATGGTTAGGGACAGATAAGAGAGAGTTAATACAGAGAACAGCATATCTAGACTGTATTTTGGTCCAGACTCTATGTGATTTTGGTCAGGTCACTGCACTGTGGTAAGATTCATGAGTTAGAGATTTCTAAATTTAAAGTTTCTTCTGCTGTTGCAGTTCTGTGAATCTAATTTTAAAAAATCCCTAGGGCCCAGACATGGTGGCACACACTTGAAGCTGAGACAGGAGGATCACTGAGTCCAAGGCCAGCCTGGGCTACAAATTGAGCTCAAGGCCAGCTTGAACAGCATACAAGACCCTGTCTCAAAAAGACAAATAATAAAAATCCTCTAGGTAGAGACTTTATCATGTGTTAGAGATGTCTTTATTATACACAGAACTACCTTCTTCTTCGTCCTTTTTCATTTTGATCACATTCTAGGTACTCATCCAGAGAATATCTATGAATATTCCCCTTTTATCCTGTTCACAACAACTCTTAATGGCTATAGACTTTTGTGTATATAATAAGCGAGTATTCTTTTTTGTTTTACATTTTTCTTAGCCATTTTCTGGACAAAGCCTATTGGTATCATCAAGTCAGAAATATTCCTGTTAAATGTGTGTTTTTTATTTTTACTAAGGTTAGATTTTATGTTTGTTCTTTGGGTTTGCCAAAATAACAATTACAGCATTTTCTAAGGATGCTGACCTTGTATCTTGGGGATAATTCAAGAAATGTCAGCAGAAAATTAATTCATGGTCTTAATTTTTATGATTGGTCTTTTTTTTTGAAATTTCGTCTGACTTAGAGAAGCACAAAATAAATGTTTGGGCTCGTACATTTACTTTTTCCTGTTAAGCAGTGATTTAAGAATGCATAAATTACATTAATTTGTTGTATGTATAGGAGTCCATTAAATTCATTTTTAAAAGTTTACCAGGTTCTTATGAGAAACCTTTATCTGAGATGTGCTTCATTTGTTTTTTGTTTTAATTTAATGTTTAGCCCTAAATACGTTACATACTTACCCATAAATAAGGCAGCATGATAAGCTATAGTTTGATAGTGAGGAAACCATAAGTTCTGAGATAAAGATCAGCTCCTATTTATCATGCTATAAGCTCTTCACCAGCACTGCTGTCGACAGAGGGCACTGTTTTTATAGACTACAGTGTAACTAATGGCCCTGTATTAGGGCAACAGTGGCCTTGTTCTCTGAGCCTCAGTTTACTCTGTAAACTGGTGTCTAAGATTCAGGGTTCCTTAGAGTCTTGTAAATGATTAAGGTAAAGATGAGAGTTCTCTCCTAAGCTATAACAGAAAATTACTTCCTGAAGGTCATGACACTAGGCACAGCAAGGTTCTAGTCTACACTGCCATCCTTAGCTCACCTACAGTTTTCTTGGATTATTATAGTAGTCTTGTTTATAATTTACTCAGTCTTATCACCTAAATAGGCGACAAACTACCTAAATTTCCTTTTTGAGCATGTCATAGCTTTGTATTTCCAACATACCATTCTGTTGCTATAGGATAGTATTAGAATTATTTTCTTAAAGGACCGCAAAATAGCTCAGCGAATTAAAGCACCTGCAAGCAGGCACTGGGGCCTGGGTTCAATTTTCAGGCCTGCCGTGCTGGCCCCGCCCCCAGGGCACACTAAGACAGCAGTTGAGACTGGGTGGCGCTGGGGAGGTGCCTCGTGGGAGGCTGTAAGCAGGCGGATCACTACGAGTCTGATCTAGTAGTGAGACCCTGAACACTCTGTAGACCCTTCCCTAAAATACGAAAATAAAATTATTTTCTTTATGCTTCTCCATCTAGGTCTTATGTACCTTAACAGATGTCATGTCACACAAAATTATCTGATAGCTGGGCATGTGGTGAACACCTGGAATTCCCTGCACCCAGGAAGCTAAGTAGGATCTTGAGTTTGATGCCAGCCTGGGCTTACATATCAAGTTCAAGGCCAGTCTGGATTATGTGGAGAGATTCTCTCAAAGTTATTTCTTTCTTTTTTTTTTTTTTTTCAAAGTTATTTCTTAAGTTATTTCCTTTCTCAGTTCAGTAGGGCAGATATTGTTATCCCACTATTTACTTATTTATATTTTGGGTTTTTTTTGAGACAGTGTCTCACTATGCAGTTCAGGTTAAACCTTGAACTCATGTAGTCAAAGCTCACGTTGAATTCACTATGATCCTTCCCGAGTGCTAGGAACATAGGCATGTGTCCCTGCACCTAATGTATCACCTCAGTTTTAAAGCGGAGCAAAAATATGTCAGAAATTGCCAAAGGTCACACAACTAATATGTCGGGAGACCAGGATTCTAATCTAGAACTATCAGATTCTGTGGTCCATGACTCCATACCATACCACAGTTCTTTTTCTTGAAGTGCTGGAGATTGAACCTAGGGCCTTGTGTTCATGGGTAAGACCCCAGCCGAATATTTATTGAAATACAAATTACACATACATGACCTATAGTCAGATACACTGATTAAATTTGAATTAAATTACCCAGAATAGCCTGAAAATCAAACTTGTTTTAAAGAGTTTAAGATGTAAGTTCTTTCATGAAGTAGGATTTGTAATTCAAGAGTTTTTTTTTTTTTAAAGATAATTGGATATTTTATCTAGATGTGGTGGCACACTTCTGTATTCCTAGCACTCAGGCTGAGGCAGGAGGATCACAGGAGTTACAGGGTTACAATAATACACAAAAAACACGTATACTTCACACTAACAAATCCCAAATGGCAATTAAGGAAAATTCCATTGACCATAGCGTAAAAAAGAAATACAATACTTAAAATTAAGTTCAAGGGAGAAAGACTACAGTAAGACATTGCTGAGAGAAATAAGAGAAATCTTATGTTCGTGGATTGGAAAATTTAATACTGTTAGTGTGTCAGTAATACCCAAGAGCATCTACAGATTCAATGTAATCCTTATCAAAATCTA